GAGAAAAGAAGAGAAGAAGGAGGAGAAGAGAAGAAAGAGAAGAAGGAGAAGAAGAAGACGAAGGAGAAGAAGGAGAAGAAAAGAAGAAGGAGAAGAAAAGAAGAAGGAGGAAAAGGAGGAGAAACAGAAGGAGGAGAAGGGGGAGGGTGAGGGAGAGGAGGAAGAGGAGGAGAAGGAGTAGGAGAAGAAGAAGAAAGCACTTCTCACTGATTTATTGGTTGTGTTCTCTCATTAGAATGTAAGCTTTCTAAGGGCAGAGACCATGTTCACTGTTATATTTCAAACAACCAGAAAAATCTGTATCCTTGAAAATGTGTGTGTGCTCTTCATCATCTGTGTGTTTCTCATCAGGGAAAATGGAATCTCAAACCAGCTTTTAGAAACCATTGCTCTGTGGTGTTATTGTGGAAGATATTCTGATCAACTGGACTGGGGAGAAATGTTCACATATTGAAATGTTCACTTTGTAAGCTAAATAATATGATTGAATGTATATAAAAAATTAAAAAACAAAGTGAAAAAAAAGAAAAAAAAAAAAAGAAAGCCACCAGGTCCGAGACTTGAACCATGGTTGGCCATATGGGAGTCCAGCGCCCTTAACCACCATGCCACTTGTCAGCCCCTCCCTTGCACTTTTCGAAGACCCCTTGTATGTATCATAACCACCCTGTAGCTTTTTTTTTTTTTTTATGGAGAGTCTCCTTTCTGCCAAGACCTGTGTAAAATCACTAATCCATTCAACTAGCATGTAAAGCCCCGTCCTGTTTCAGGGGCTGGACATTCAAAGATGGCTAAGACGTAACTATCCCCTCGAGTTGCTCACAGTCCAGCAGAAGACTAGGAAGAGGTCTTTGCACTATGGAGTGAGAAGACCAGGCACGGAGGGAGGGGTCAGGCAAACACCAGTTCTCACCAGAACCCCAGGAGGGAGCCGAGAGCATCCCCATTGAGCAGATGAGTTAACTGGGGTTAACCGAATTCCTCCTGGCTGCATGGTTAGTAATTTCACTCAGCTGTGGTTTCTTGGTTCTCTGATTCTACCATGAGAATGAAAAGGGTTTTATGAAGTTGGGGTTTCTTTCTGCATCTTTCACACCAAGCTGTCTGCAACTTTGTAAACGTCTTGTTCAATCAGGACTGTGGCAAAAACAGCCATTAACTTATGCTATGAAATTTCTTAGAATGTCCATCCCCACAAACTAGGCAGAGCGGGTGGCTGACAAGATAAATGAGTAGACAAAACCCACTTCAAGCAACTCACAGCAGGACCGCCCAGTAAACCGCCACCCCCTCCCGCACCCCCTGCACGGTCAGTAGATCTCCCCTGGTCCTCCCAGACCCTCAGTCCCTTCCTCCACTCACCGGAAAACACTTCCAAATGCACCGGGTCGCTGAGGCTGGTCTGGCCCATCTGGCACCTGAACTCCCCGCTGTCGTTGCTCTGGGCCTTAAACCTGTAGTGGGGCTGGTCCTGGCTCGGGATGGAGCTGCCATTGTAGAACCACTGGGTGGAGGTGTCCCCAGGGGCATGGGCCCCCTGGCATTGCAGAGTCACGGTGTCCCCCTGGAGCACGTGAATCCACGGGGGCTCCAGTTTCACCACAGCCTTGGGGAGTTCTGCCAGGGGACAAGAGGGGCAGTGTGACGAAAGAAATCCCAAGAGCCCGAGTAGACCCTGATTCTTAGAGTAAAACAATTCCCTGTAGTCCTCCTGGGGCACTGAGAGTAGAGCCAGGCCTGAATACACGGCAATTCTTTCCTCTGACATTCATGACAAGGGTCTCGGGGAAACTAGGTTATCTCTGGGGGCTCTGATCCTCAGGAGGATGAGGGCACGAGGCGAGGGAAACACTCTAGAAATATTAATACATATCCCTCTTAAGAGATGCCCTAACCAGTGTCCTCCGCGTGTGTCCCTGTCTCACATGAGTGTGCACACACATCGTGGGGACGCGCTTTCCTCCCCTGTGAACTGAGGCGTGTGGACGCTGGTGGGTAAGCTCTGTCAGAGATGGCTGGAGGTGGAGAGGACAGGCATGGAGTCGTCATGGGAAGGAGGTCAGGCGGCCTGTCATCACACCCAGGCACAGGGAGCCTCTGTGGCCTCCGAAGGCTAAAGAGAAGGGGAGAAAAGCCCAGGGCCAGTTCTGGGGGGTGGCCAGGTGGGGGATGCTGGCAGACAAGTGGCCATCCGAGCTCAGCGAGTGCAAGCAGAGGGCTGGAGAGACCCCCCTGTCGGGAACAGGCCCCGAGGCCCACATGCTCATAGAGCAGAGGACTGAGCAACACGTGAGGCCAGCCCACGCAGGTCATATGATGTGGCAGCCCTCTACGTTTTATTTGGAGAGAGGAAGCTCTTGGTTTTATTTGGGGAGTGGAAGGCAGTTGAGAGAGAGGTCAAAGTTCTCATTTTCTGTGGCAATGCCCCTGACAGAACCAGGAGTGTTGAAGCCCCTGTGCCCCATGGCTGCCCACGACCCACCCCCTGGGAGGAGGCGGATGGGGACAGAGGGCAGTCCTCAGGGAGCACTTACGCTCTCTTGGCCCTGGGAAGGTAGGGGCTGGGTTGCATTTAGAGCACCCTCAGATAGGGCATGAGGGGGGAGAAGGTGTGGACAGGGCACTTACCAGTGGTCCCAGCAACAGGAGCTGCAAGACAGAGAGCACACGTCAGCCAGATGCAAATCTCTGCCCTAAGACAGGCCTGCCCAGGCCCAGAGACCCCTTCTACTGCCCAGCCCTTAGCCCACATCCTCTGGCACTTTCAAAGGACTCCTTCCCCAGTAACAGAAGGAAATGAAATAAAATGATGCAAACCCTCTTCCTTCTGTTTCATGACACTTTGGTTTGGCTTAACACTTTTTGAAAAAAAAATTAAAGAATGAATTATTATTATTCTTTTCTTTTCTTTTTTGGAGTGGTTTTTGTTTTGTTTTGTTTTGTTTTGTTTCTATAGGGCACATGCACTCGCCAGAAAGACAGAAAGAGACAGAAAGTGAGAAATCACCCACCGGGGGTTGGTCATGCCACAATCCTTTCTCCTCCATTCTCCTCTCAGGATCTTAGGCGCACACGCACACATCCACATGCCCGGCATGAGTTTAAGCCACCAGATGTGAGACTCAAACTGTAGTCAACTATATGGGAAGCCAGCGACAGAGCCATTACACCAACTGCTGGTCCCTACTATTATTATTTTCTAATTTGACCAGAGAGAGAAAGAAAGTGAAGAAGCAAACTGCCCAGTTCAGGACTTGAACTGCAATCAGCCATATGGAAGTCCAGAGCCTTCACCACCATGCCACCTGCCAGCCCTGACCTACCACTTTTAACTGATTAAAATAAAAACACCTCTGGGAAGAGGTCCCTGTTGGGCTTTACATTTGATGTATGCTCCAGTGCAAGTGATTTTGTGAGTCTATCCTGAGAGCAGGATTTTCTTCTTTGTGGGGGAGAGGGTAGGGATTGCACAGGCAAGCCATCATCTCGGGAGCAAACAGCAAATCCACAGGAGCTAAATACCAGTGTGTCACACGTGCCATTGCCTGTGTTCTATGAAAACGTAACAAAAAAAGTTCGCATACTCACATCAATGACCGAAGAAGGTACACTGGCTGTTATCCAACTTGATTCTTCACTGAGCAACACGTGCTCTAAATCAACCTGTTTCTGGGTTTCTTTTCTTAAGTTTATGTATTTATTTCTTCCATGAGAGAGAGAGCCAGCACCCCCAAGAGGGTCTTCATACCACCATCCTCACGCACCTTAGCCAGCCAGGATCACAGGCATGCGTGCGAGCCCAGCCATACAGAGAGACCCCAGGACACAAACCCAGGACCTTCCCACGTGGGCCCAGTGTCACGGAGAGATGCCTTCCTGCTGTGCTACCACGGCCGGCCTGTTTCTTTTTTTTTTTTAAGACAATTGTTTTTTCTTTTATTTCAGTTTGCCAGAGGGCACATGTGCTTGCCAGAGAGAGAGAGAGAGAACAGAGAGAGAGGAAGAGGAAGAAAATATCCCCCCAGTGGGGTGTGATCAAGCCACAATTCCTTCTCCATTTTTCCACGCAGTCAGGATTTGGGGCACACACACACACACACACACACACACACATGCACACACACAAACCCAGCGTTTTTTGTTGCTGCTTCATTTATTTAATTTTTTTTAGGTTTTTGTCATAGGGCATGTGTGCTTCCTAGAGAGACAAAGAGATAGTGAGAGAGAAAATAGGAAATCCTCCACCTCCCCCAGGAGGGATGGCTGCTCTGCAATCCCTTCCCTCCATTCTCCTCTCAGGGTTTTAGGCCTCCATGCACACACACTCAGCATGATTTTCAAGCTGCTGGGTCTGGGACTAGAAATACAGTAGGCTGTGTGGGAATCCAGTGCCTTAAGCACCATGCCACCTGCTGGGGACATTTTTAAATTTTTATTTATTGGGGTTTTTTTTTTTGGTTTTTGTTCTTTTTTGTTTTTGTTTTTGTTTTAATTTGCTATAGAGAGAGAGGGAGAAAGTGAGAAAGCAAGTTACCAGGTCTGGAACTCAAACCATGATCAGCCATGTGGAAGACCAGTGCTTAACTGCCACACTACGGGATAGCCCCCCCACCGTTTTTAGCATACAAATTTAACTTTATTTTGTCATTGCCACTTAATGTTGGATTTTATAAAACTTTTTTTTTTTAACTAGAGGCCAATAGATGGTATGGTCGCTAAGGCAGCTGGTCCTACATATGTAGTTTGAGTCCTGGATCTGGGAGCCTGAAAAACATACCTGTGTGTGTGTGTGTGTGTGTGTGTGTGTGTGTGTGTGTCTAAAATTCAGAGAAGAGAAAGGAAGAGAAAGGATTGTGGCATGACCATCCCCCTGGTGGGTGATATCTCACTCTCACTCTCCTTCCCTGAAAAACACACCTTGTAGCAAATTTTAAATAAATAAGAGTTCTATATCACAGGAAATTAAACAGTAGAAATCCATGGATTCACAGGCTTGTTCTATAAATTAAAATAATTGCACATGTTTTCAATATGGGGACTATTGGTACAATGAAATCAATGACAAGGACCTAATAGAGCAATTACTTACGGATTCTCAGTTACTTTCAGGATCTAAACAAAGATTCTGAATATGCAGACTTTTTGCTGTATATTTCTATATTTAAATATTTCCCTCCCTATACTGAGTCAAGCTTCTTCATCGGATGTTAGATTTGGTAAAGCTTTTAGCTTTATTGCAAAAGTTTTTCCATCTACAGCTACCACCTTCCAAAACCCTGGCATTGCAATGCTGCTGAGATTGCAGCTTCCTTTTGAACACTGTGCAACAAATCCATTATGTCGACACTACGGTGAGTCGAACAAGTCCTCCAAAATGGAACACTTATGCACAGTTCCGTGAAGTATAATGTTGACTTCCCCCAGTTAAAAATGACCACTGTGAGGCTAGCAGGTAGTGTGGTGGTTGGGGTGCTAGACTCCCACATGGCCGACCACGGTTCGAGTCCTGGACCTGGCAGCTTTCTCACTTTCCCTCTCTCTCTCTTTTTGTCTCTCTCTGGTGAGCACATGTGCCCTATAGCAAATTAAATAATAATAAATTAAATAAATAATACTTTAAAAAAATTAATCAGTGAAATAAAACATTCACTATACAGGTTGACTTGGTTTCAGGAAAAGCACATGTGAATGTTATAATTACATTATTTTCTTTCTTTTTTTAAAAGAATTATTTTATTTAGCTTTATTTTATTTATTTATTTTAACTAGACCAGGGAGGCACACAATTCCCAGATTTAAAAAGGCTATGGGAAAACTGATGTGGTAGTCTAGTTTCAAGAGGCCTGAGGGTGCCATAGAGGCGGAAACTCCTTAATAAGATCAATGAACATAAAGAGTCAGAGGTAAGGTTAGTGCTTGTTCTGGAGCCATTAGTGGTCCACAAATCAGAACCCGATAGTCAGATGAGCTGAAAATGATGAGCTGGCCTAAGATTTAATTGAGACAAAGGTCAGATAATGTATTACTACTACCACAGTACATTTGGAAATACTACAAATGACATTATATATCAGCTGCATGTACTGTCATATGCCTTACACATGCTACACTTCTACTCTGAGAGGATTTATACTCATGTTTTGTACATTAATTATTTTTATTAATAGATTTAATAAAATGGAGACAAAAATTTGCCTTTGAGAGATATAAGAAAAGTTGTTTTCCATATAATTCAAGAAAAGTTATATTAAAATTATTTCTGCACAATTTTCCTTTGAAATATGTAGCCAGATAAGTAGTATGTATTCATAATAGAGTCATGAGTGCCCATGTCCAGTACATGAAGTTTTTCAAATACCTGAACCCAACTTCCAAAGAAAAGTACACAGACATACATACATACGTGCATGTGTATCACCGGGAAAGAAAATGTGGCAAATCATAAACATTTGGAAAGCTTCTTGAACCTTTGTGGGTTTTCATTATAATATGGTTTTAGCTTTCTGGTAGGTTTACATTTCTTTTTTTAATTGAAAAGTAGGAGAAGATAGAAAGAAGGAAAAAAAGGAGAAAAGAAAAAGAAAAGGGAGGAAATGTATCTATCTTGGTCACTTCTGCAGCCCCCACAGCCTGTCAGAGTGGAATTTCTGCCTTTATGTATTTCAAGCTATGTAGGGTTGATTTGTTTGAGCAACTGTTCCAGAAAGAACCTAAGATAGCTTTAGACTCAGGAACAATAGGGCAGAAGTTCAACAACCAGAAAACCAGCTGAAGGATTGGTATTGTGAAAAATAAAGATGTATACACCACTCACACTAGCCAGAATAAAATAATGATAATGTGAAGGAAGTTTTCATTATAATCAAGGACTGTGAAACTGCATGGTCTTCTAAAGTGACTACAGAGATCTGTGTTTTTCACATGCACAAGATAAAAATGTCATGTTATAATTTCTGTAAAACTTGAAGCTATATCCGGTAGTCATGGCAGTCCATATCATTAAGGACTTACATGTCTTTTAGGCCTACAGGATATTTGATATTCCTCTGGATAACTTATTTATGGAATTTTAATATGGTCAGAGAACAGGATAATATTGCTGAATGGAAAACCTGTAGCAATTTTTTTCTGTACCAGTTGGTTTTATTAATTGTGGACTGACTAAATACAGAGTGTGCTTTGATTCACAAAGACTAAAGAAAAATGTTAAAGTAGAAGAGAGATTTTTTTTTGTTAGTGATATTGTTATTCAGTTTCTTAGCTGTGCTTACTACTAGGAGATACATGATAAAGTGAAGTGTCAAGATGTTTGAAAATTACTCCAAAAACAAGAAGAGAGCAAATATATAATATATTTATATTTTAAAATCAGTAATACATACTTATATTTTAATATGAAAGTTTAAAGTTTAAATTTATAATGTTAGACATTACATTTTCAAATCTAGCTTGTAGATACACACATGTTCACTTTACAATTCTTTTATGTTCCCATAATATTAAAAAAAGTTTATGCTTAAATTAAAAAAAAAGATGTTTTTATAGGAATAACTTGGCATCTATACAATTCATGAGTATATAAAACTTGTCTTAGATTAGCTTGTGGTTCAACCTATCTATATTTGGTATATTATTTTTTCTGTTTTCAA